CACAGCCACCATACACTTAATACAGGCACCACTTCTTGAAAATCCAGGACTTAAGCCCTTTTTCAAGCCTTTTTTCTTCCACGGGCTTGCTTTTGTATTTTAGACACTGGTTGCATTACATGTGGCACTATAGAGTGTGTGAATATCATAACATATTTGTAATACCTTTTTCAAAACACATTTGTTTCTCGTGTGTGCAAACCTTCAAGATAAGCACTTTTAAGAACTTTTCAGTTATTCCAGACCTTGAATTTAAACCACTTTAAGGACCTTGTGAAAGAAACACATTACAAGCAATAATATCAAGAGCAGTGATTGATTTGAGTTTTTCTCAGCATTATTACTTTTCATAATGACATTGTAGACAACTTCAGATCTAGGCTACATTCAAATTAATGCACAGAATGAATAGTTGCACACAAAAAGAGATTTTGCACTATTATTTTATTACTTTTTTTATTTATCTTTTTGGATATCAACTTGTGTTCAATAATTGCTTAACTTTTAACCTACATTAGACATCCCAGTATTACTTTTTGCAGCGATATGACCAATAAATAAATACAAAAATCTCAGCAAAATATCTACTGCTTTCTTTTTCTTTTCAATGCTTATTTAAACTGTTTCAAACGCAAGCTAAGCAAAAATACACAATAAACATGGCATATGAAAACATCCCTTGTCCATAAAAAAAAAAAAAAGATTAAATGTCGTAAACAAGCCCAGGCACAGCTAACACATCAGCTAACAAGCCTTTAGTTGCTAACGGGAAATATTAACATTTTATTGATTAGTATGCTATTGTTAAGCGTATAACTTTGCTTCCCATGCGTTTCTGGTCACGCGTGAACTATAGAAGCAGCAAATAAACGGAGAGTGAACGTTTACGAAGCTAGCAAACATGCTAACTGTGCTAAACTTTAGATACAGTGTATAGATAACATTGTGCTTAATGGGAAAACCAGTTTATGGAATTTTTACACACATATTGCATAAAGCAAAATGGTATATCAAATAATTTTGTTATATATTTTATAACATAGTTGAGAACCATCCTTAAACAAAGTTAGTTATAAAAAAATCCTGAAACCTAAACATTGATTGGTGATTTAAAAAAATTCCCATTGTTTATGCCTTTTCATGTCTACTTTGTCATTTTATTTTTTTAGAAAACCTGAGTCCTGGTGTCCTCTACAGAGGACATAGCATAACTTATGAATAAAATATAATTTTTCAAAAATGTTATTTTACCATTTTTTTCTTATGCTCTAAACAATGTAATGACATGAGAAAATACTAAATTCACAAAGCTTTTTATTTCTGGTTCTCAGGAGGTTAAATCAAATTGTGTCTAGTCAGAACTGAGTCAGGAGACGTAAAGGTAGAAGCTTTAAAAGAAGAAGCTGCCTACTGCAGCCAACAACCAAGATTTCTCCCTTTTTACACAACTGCGTCGTTTTTCGTGGGCGTGGATCTGCCTAAGTAACGGTGCGGGCCACACTTCGGGGTTTTCAGACAGAGATACTGCCACTATATTTCGCTTTCTCGGGTTGATTTATTGATCCGCAGTGATCAGGCAAATCCGACTCATCTGCAGTCCATGCGCGACAGAAACGCTCGACTTGAACTCAACAGCATATGCTGAATTTGAGTTGCAAATAGCTGCGCGCAATCGCTTTGTAATCCTATCTCGACTTTGGAAAAAATTGCGTACAAACCAACAATGTCTCGCGTTGATGCAGGGCCGAAAAATGACTCGGACTCGGAAAAGAAGACTGAACCGGCCCAGGACAGTTCATTGGGAGAAATGGACGTCCCTAAAACTAAACTCTTTGATGCCAAGGCAATCTTATGGACTTTTGGCAAATGTCTTACTGCCTTGTTGCCCGTTTACCTGGCTGGTTACTATCGGATGAGCACTAGTTTAGTGGTGTTTGGGATGATGGTTTACGCAGGATGGAAACACTCTCGTGAGGCGAAGGAGGCGAGACTGAAATCCGCTATAGAGTTGGTCAACGACAAAGAAGAATATATATCCTCCAAATCATTTAGAAGTAGAAGAGACCTGCCTTCTTGGGTAAGAATGCACAAAAGTGTGTCTTTTGTTATTCTTGAAAAAAAAGAAAAATTGTTATTTATGTATAACGTCCGAATAAACCCACATGTATACTACAAGTGAAACAGACAATGTGTTAATGTAAAAGATTTGCATAGCCACAAACAACTAAAAAGAGTTGCGATGTCCGAATTGCGAGTGATTTGTTCTTATGAATCGGTTCATTTGAATGATTCTGATTCGCACGGCGTTTGAAATCACTTCGCTGTTAAGGATAAGCATAGACGTAAAACTGAGGAGGATGACATGAACAGCTCTAATATTTGACGCAACCTTCTCGAGAACATAGTGGAAACAGTCGTGTTTAACAGAACAACATCTTTTACCACAAAAAAAAAAAAATGTAGTGACTCAAAAGAATCAGTCACGGTGAATCATTTTTTGAACCAGTTCATTGAGAAAAAAAAAAACCCGTCTGAGCGAATCGATTCGCTGAAATGAATCTGATTCCCCAGTGCTGCTAAAGTGTAGGAGTGGTCTGCAGATTTTGAGGACATTTTTCGAGCTGATGGTGGCGCTGTTTTGGTGGTATACTGCATACTAGGTGCTGCATAGTTGGCAAAATTCCCATCGCCCAAATCATTCTGAACACATTGTTGCTTTGTCATCCCTTCCACATTTGCACAGTAGACGCTTCCATAAAAGAGTTTATTCTATATTTGGTCATGTGGTGAAATAAAGTTTAAAGTATATATAAAAAAATGGTTGACATTTGTTCATTGAGATGCCATATGTAAAATTAAGCCTGTGATCCCATGAATTCCTTAACTGTGCCTTTAAACCCCACCCAACCAGTCCGTATGACCCTCCCTTATGTCACAACAGCTGTCTGTGACCACACACACACACACACACACAAAACATGCACATGTCTGGTGAACAAAAGCTGCATATGCTATTATTACACATTCATTCTTAACCAAACACTAATTCAACCAACATATGTTCCTGCCTTTGAATTAGTAGATGAGTTGCAATGCATGTTTGTTTCTAAGATGGAAGAATGCTGTTTTTGTAACATGGGAAATATGATTTTCAAAAGACAAGTTGCTATCTAATATAACACCCAGATTTTTGACTGTAGAGGAAGTAACCGTACATCTGTCTATAATTTATGCATTTAGCAGACACTTTTATCCAAAGCGACTTACAGTGCACTCAGGCTATACATTTTTTACCAGTATGTGTGTTCCCTGGGAATCGAACCCACGATCTTTTGCGCTGCTAACGCAATGCTCTACCACTGAGCCACAGGGATTAAAAATGAATTTTTTAATGTCCTTTTGCATCTCTAAAACATTTACAATAAAAATCATTACGATAGTTGCCAAAATACCATAGTAAATATAACATACAATTAAAGATAAAACCCACTTTATAATGATAATAAAAGCTCAAATTAATGCATAACAAAAAAATGGAAATTGAAACCAAATAATAATAATAAAAGACAACATAATACATAAAAGGCTTCAGAAAAAAAATTGCTATTTAAACGCTAAAGTTAAAAGATACTTTTTTTTAGTTTTCTTATTTAGTATTAATGGTATATTTTTGCAAAATATAGTTTTAAAAAAATTAGTTTTGGGGTTGAAATTAACTTTTCTTCTTGAGATTTACTCTACTGAGAGACAGAAAAAGGAGGAGCATATAGAGATATATCCCTTCCTGACGTCTTTATAGCATTTGTCCTTCTTTGCGATGAAGCTCATCCCATTTCAGTAATAGTCTTATTTTATAATAGTATATAATATGTGTAAAAGTGCTGCCGCGTATCATTAGAGCACAAATATTTAGGCCTGACGTGCTTTATCAGTGATTCACGAGGCAGACATTTTACGCTGGCATTCATCCCAGCCTAGACTCTACCCTTGTTGTACCCCGTGGTCATGTGGTTTGTGCATGAGTCACAATGTTATTTCTAATATCTGTGGTTTGCACATGCAACGAAACAATCTGAAAAATACCCTGGCAACTGGTGCTTTAGCTTCTGTTATCAGCTCTTCACCTCCACGAACAACAACAAATGGTCGCTATAGTAACAAGGCAAACACAACTGGCACGGTGTAAACAGCTGCAAGCAGAGCAGAGAACAGGCACGAGTTAAACGAGCGTTACGGGAACATTCCATTTTTATCATTTTTCAAACATTATGAGAATGTTGCTTTTAAATGTTCTTTAAACCTTCTGAAACGGGTAGTAACATTTAAAAAATGTTAAATGAACGTCCAACTAAAACGTTTCAGAAAAAAAGCGTTCCATGAACGATGCATAAATAATCTAAAATAAAAAAAAAGACACACTCTGGCATAAAATATGACGCACTCTTTCTCTTCCTGTCTGTGTTTCAAGGTTATCCAGCAGGCCTGGCCATTTATTGGTCAGTATTTGGAGAAGCTGCTGACGGAAACCATTGCTCCATCCATCCGCGGCTCCAGCACTCATCTGCAGACGCTCTGCTTTACGAAGGTCGACTTTGGTGGCAAGGTCATACATGCTCACTCACTTACAGCTACACAATAAATAATATTCCTATGAAACATTCCCACACATCTCAATCCACTGCAGTGCAAGAGATTAAAAGAGGCTCCAGTGCCACTGAAACGTGTCAGAACAAGCGTTCTGTTTAAATAAATGCTCTAGAGAACAGTGTCAACATCTGATGTCTCATGGCAAACATTCCTGTTGAGGCAGTAGTGAAATTTAGATGTTAAAGTCATTTAAAAATATTGTAAGACTGAAATTGTATATTTTGTTGCAAATATTTTAGCTAATACTGCAGGGAGGTTGTGAGTCAATGAAAAGCTATTAATTCATTAAATCATAAAAAAGTAAAATAAAGTAAATAGATCATTATGAAAATGAAACACTTACTAAAAATATTTCATTTGTTTACCTGTATGTCATGTGACCATTAGCCAAAATCAGAGAACCCTAAACATTCAAGTGTGTTGTTAAATTATTAAAATATTAGCTTAAAATCATAGATGGTACTTCAAGTACATATTTTAGGTCAAAGGGGTTTTGGAATCCCTGAACTATTATATGGCTTTTAGCATTATTGAATAACATTCATAAAGAAACAACTGATTTGCCCAATTGTCTTGCCTGCACATTTTATCTTCTACAACAGAACTTTCTTTTATTTTACAGCCGATGAAGGTGGTTGGAGTGAAGGCTCATACAGAAAATGAGAAAGGTCAAATTCTGCTCGACGTTTACATCAGGTGACGCATGCATCTGAGATTCTCTGCAAACATGAGGTCCTATAATGAGGGAATTGTCTATTGTCTCTCAGGGAGTGATTTCAAAGCCTTGTGTACTCGATATTGTGTCTGTATTTCACAAGTTGACGAAACAAGATTGTCAAACCACAGCCAACTCAGATTTGTTCAGCCTGATTGAGTTTATTCAGAGAAATAAATGAGAGGATATCCTATTGAAAGACTGAAAGGCATTTAAATTTCTTAGTTGCAATTAATTATATTAGTTTTAGTTGTTTTGGACAAATTCAGCAAAATTCCTTAAAACCCTCTACCGCACGCATTATGATGGACCTATAGAAAAAAATATTTGAATCTTTTTCTTTTCTAAAATTGGCTTAACTTGAAGTGCTGTAAAAAGAATTTTGGAAATAAATATTATTTTGAGGCACTTTATGATATGTTGCCATATGGCAACAGCATACAATAGTGGATCTAACTTAGAATAAGTGTATGTTTACTTATAGTTAATATTTTTCCTCAGAAATGTTGTTTGTGTTGATTCAATTGGTGCTGTTATAAGCTTTAACACAGTACTTATAATTGACACCTTATACATACTTTCCAACAACTTGTGCTTTTATTTATTCCATTCTTTTTTGCTGAATAATGGTTTATAATTTTTTTATTTCATTACATTTTTCATGAATATTATTTAAACTGCAAACTTATACAGTTAAAACAAATATTATACTGTATATCATGTATCATAAAACATTGACATAAAACCAAAAACATTGCCGTTCATGAAAATTCAGCATTACGCAATCTTATGAGAGGAAGACTATGAACATGAGCCCCCCCCCAATCCCTCCATCCCCCCATAATCCTTGAAAGATCACCTTTTTTATGTATGAAACTTCACAAAGCAGTTTTTTCATGTGCAGGAAGAGCAAGTTATGCCCTTTTCTTCTTTACCTTGCCATAGAATATGGCCATGCTCACTAATGTAATGTTACCTGTATTCATATTTAATCAGAAGTAAAATTGCCATTTCAATTTGATTATATCCATAATACAAATTTCATTAACATACGACTAATCAACATTATATCACTAGTATTAATGTTGTTATTGTTACAGTTTAACAGATTGCAGCTGACCTTGCTAGCTAGCTAAACTATTGTAATAATGTCATTCCACTATTGCACAGTGTTGC